TTCTCAAGACTTCTACCAGGGCAGTACTTTCCTTAAAATGTTTCTTCCTCTCCTCAAATCTCCTTTTTATTCTTTCGCAACGTCTGTCTCGCCTCCTTCAATTGCTTCTCATGTTTCCTCCTCTTCTTACTCCAGGGTGGCAATGCAGCTTGCAATGGGGCCTTTTCCCATATTTTTCCCTTTGTCCTTCGCCGTTGGGAGATTGCAGTGTGCTCGCTCCCTAAGTTTGCACATTGGGCGCCGCTTCCCCGACCCGTGCCTTCTCTTCTCAAAGGGCGCTAGTCTCCCGCTTCTCTCTCTACCATCCCCCTCCTCTCCTTCGACCTCTTCTAATTTTGCCTCCTCTTTTCCTCCTTTTTCATTTTCTCTTTCGTCTTCTTTTTCTCCCTATCTATCTCTTGTTCCCTTTTCCACTCCTGATACAAAGGATCTCATGGTTGAAGGACCTTCTCTCCACCACTTCAGATCCATTGTTCCCATCCAGCCGCACCTAAAGAATCCGAGGGGGAATACTACGCACAGCTGTGTAGACCCCCGTACGAATACGGGCCGTACGTACGTACGTACGACCGTACGTACGGGCTCATGTGGTCGTACGGGCCGTACGTACGGAAAAAAAGCAAAAAAAAAAAAATCAAAAAAATCTGAAAAAAAAATATGTTATGCAAAACAATAAACTGAAACACTTTTGCCTCAGGGGCATATTGAAATTCGTTACCAAATTTGAGATTAAAAAAAAAAAAAACGTTTTTTTCTTTTTTTTTGTTCGTACGGGGCTGTACGTACGGCCGTACGTACGACCGTACGATAAACACCCCGTACGTCGTATGGAGTGTTACACAGACGCACAGCAATGGCTGCCAGAGAACACAGAAGGTGACAAGGCGCTATAGGATAATCATTCATGGTGGGGGGTCAAATCCAAACGTTCATTCCGTTCCACTATCTCCTACTATTTCGACTTTAACTGGAATCAGACTCGACTTCAGACTTGCTTCCAACATGCATACACAAGAACCAATGGCGAAACAAAACTCTTAACTCAGGATCAACAATGAACTCGCACTTAAAAAATTCTGTTCAGAACAACTGTACAACTTGTGGCTATGGCCGTCGAACACTCTCTCCACCACCAGCCTCACTCTCCCTCGTG